TTTTTTTTCTTTCAACAAGATCCTCTTCGGATCCTTTTGGTGAGGATCCGTGAATCATGTCCGTTCATCGTAACATTGTACGATCAGTTTTTGTCAGGTACGTTTTGTGTTTAATTTTAAATAAAAATATTTAAAATGATTTCTAACCGCACGATGTACGATGAACAGACACAATTTACGGATTTTCGAGATCCTCACAAAGAGGATCCGGATTTTTTTTTTGACAAACGATTGCTTTAATAGATTAAATTGTTATTTGTTAAGGAGGGAGAGATTGATGAAAAGATCGAACCGCACATGATACATATGCATGATTGTTTTTCACTAATGTGATAAAGGGCATCTTCCAATCCATGATTTTCTTTAGAACAATACAGTTTGACAATATATACATAACATGCTGAATATATAAAATACAAATAGTAGATACAATGAAGCATATGAAAACTTTTCAAAATATCAACAACAGCTTCTAAAGATAAACTCATTCTACATTGACAAAGTATGCAAGCTATAAAGTTGGAGAGCAACAACATTATTCTCCAAAAGAAAAGAATTCGACAGCATTCCAAGGACAGAAGAAAACATATGTCGCATGAGACGACCGCAAGTAAATTGTTTAAACCATGAAATCAAGAATTCTCTCGAATTTCCAAGTAGAAGTTAAAGAATCCTACCTAATATTAGCTTTAAAATTTACTTTAATGCGACTTCTTATTAAAATACCAATTAACATAACCAAATTTTTAATGAAGACTAGTCAGTTTCTAGATTCTTATGCTTAATTATACCGTTCAGAAAAACCTACATATATATATATACATATATATATATATATATATATATATATATGGTTTGCAATATGGACCTGGCTTCTATGCCCTCCCACTTTCTATGCACTTCTATCTTGTCTTATTTATGTGATGACGGTTAAGTCACGTCAACATTTTATATTAATATCATTTTTTTATTTTATTATCTTTATAAAAAAATAATATAAAATATTAACGTAATTTAACTATAATCGCATAAAATAGAAAGAGATAGAAGTGAATGGAAAATGAGAGGGCGGAGAAGTCGGTCCTTGCAATATTTACCCTAATCATAATAAAAGGAAGACTTTGTGGCCTCATGCCAAATCAAATGCTTCCACGTGGTAAGCATTTGGAGCATCGCAATTGAAACCATAATTTTCTTGGTGCTTGTACCTACGGCGGGCATAAAAAATAATTTTCTTGGTGCTTGTACCTACGGCGGGCATAAAAAATAAATTTCTTAGTGCTTGTACCTACGGCGGGCATAATAAACGTGAAATCGTAGAACTGGTTCAGCTCGGTTTGGAACTGAACCAACCGGTCATATCAATTTCAATTTTTGATTTTTATCTCTACATAACCGGTTTGGATCGAATTAAATTGTATTATTAATTAACTTTTTTATTTTAAATATAATCCATTAGGCCTTTGTTTTTATCTGTCTGTTCAACCTAAATATAAAAGTTCATACCAAAGCTCTCAAACTTAAGCCCAAATAACTTAACATTGCCAACCATGCAGAAAATTTAGTCAAAATTTGAAATCCTAAGTCCTCTCTCTCTCTCTCTCTCTCTCGATCTTCATGGCCTTTGCTCCCTCATTCGTCATCGATATCTCAAAATCTCCTCCCTTGCGACCAAAATTTCCACCTTATCGATCTTCACGGTCTCTCCATTTTCTGCTTCTTCCTCTCCCACTGCGATTTGGGCACCAAAAAGGCGATGACAAGAAAAGAAGATGAAGCAGTGCATCCGCTTCCCTCCTCATCCTTGTTAGATTGTTGCACTTCCCTCCTTTGATATGCCGCTTCTGTTTTGACTATGTTTTGGCTTTTGGAAGACTAAAATTATAGACAAAATTTGTAATCTAAATTATGTGTCACCAATAAGAATGAACACGTTTATCAACGTTTAAATAGGAATCCAATTATCAACTTACTTGTCATTTAATTTATATATTTTTATCTATAAATTTGGTTTCCTAGCATTACCCTTTCATAAAACCCAAAAGACCAACAAAAAAATAAATGAAATGAGCTAAGGCCTAGAACCGGTTGTGAACCGAACATCTGAACTGTTCTGATCAAATTCGATTTGGTTTTTGTAAATAATATTGATAAGAACTGAATCGGACCGAACTGTAGCTTTTCTCTATTCCAGTTCTGGTTTGAGAGGTAAATCGGACCGAACCAAGTTCTATCCACCCCTACTTTTGCCCATAGTCATACCTTAATTTGTCGAATACTCATAGCAAAAGGAAATTTCGATGGAAGCCATAATCAAATGTAATTGATTGAAGAAGAGGAAAAAATTGAAAGTACAGTTTAGACAGTCCTCGTGCAAAAAAGAAGAAGAAAGTTTTAACCAAATTAAATGTTTCCATTTTAAAATAAGAGTCTCAATATATGATGTTATGAGACTGTCAACTAAAATGGTTCAAATAAATATAATTCGACGTAAATTAATACATATCGAATTATAACGAGAATATTACTTTGTCTTTGTCATCGTTTGCTACATATTTGTCATACAAGCTAAATGATCTATAGTGCATAATAGGGGACATGGTTTTAAAGAATAAGGAGTTCTCGTACCATTACAAAAGGTTTAAGGAACGTTTGGGAGTTGGTATAAGATATAGTTATCCCAATATTTCTTTTTGACAAACTAGTGGCTATTTACAATTCACCTATTATGTCACAAGAAAGTTCACTACTAAAAAGTTTGGGACTACAAAGACTTGTTTCATTCAGTTTCTTTTGAGCTTAGCGCAATCACAACAATACTAGTCACAACTAAGTATGGAACTCATCAAACAATTATGTCGTCTTATCATTTATGTAAGTTGAGCTTGTAACCTCTTTAAGGAGAGATAAATATTAGGCTAAAAGTTAATTGGTGACTTATATCAATATCTAGAAGGGAAGTGTGGTGCCTTGATTTTCCAAGGCAGAAGTAAGGTTGATTGAAATACATTTACCTCATAAGTCCGATCATAGACTCAATAGCTCTGAGCAGAGCTAGATCTGATGAAGTAGCGGTGCCACCATCACCTTGTTTTGGGGCAATAAGCGAAGTCCAAGCAATTCTGCTAGTATGACCACGCTTGTTCCGCAAAATGTGAGATTTGATCCGGATATGGAATCAATTAGATCATTCATATGTCTTGGAGTTCCTACAACTAGAAATTGGTGTGCACCGCAAGTAATCACAACTTCTAATGCAACATATAAATACACCTATCTAGGGTTCATCTTCGGTAATACAATCTTTGTGTTCTAATTCTCTTGCCTATTACTTGAGTTTTAAACTTGCTTACTAACTGATCATCGGAGAGCCTTTGGCCAGCACACCCATCTCGCGTCTTAGGCTTGCTCACAGTTATTCTTTGTTTTGCAAGTTACTCGAATTTGTGCCACCACCATCCGCGGCGATGTGCAAGTTTGGTTCCAACAATTGGTGCTTTCATTTAAAGTGAACTCATATATCTCTTAACCAGATCACTCTACAGCAAACATGACTGCTGAAGAAAGCTTTTTTAACACCAATGTTAACCTTGTACCGGAAAACAATCCACTTTTTTATGCATCCGCTATCCCAATGACGGGTAGCCCACTGCTTGACACCTCTGCCACTCCTGGAGCAAGTAACAACCCGCAAGAAAATCATACATCATTGATCCAAACATAGGTCCTTTGTGTGATGGCCAAATCACCAACATTGCTTCTAGAAGCAGGCTTTGAGCCCCACAAGACTCTCCATCCCTGAACGCAACAGGGGCACTAAGAGCAGAACCCTGCCACCTGAGGTTCGATGAACCATAATCTTTTTATTAATATACTCTCATCCACCTATGTTATAACACATATGATTGTACATCACATGACACGTGTTCATGGTATACTTAAAACTTGTCACTCCAATGGATATGTGATCAATTTGTCTTGATGGCATATGTGACAATTATATTTGTCTCATAAAAAAATAGTCACTCGAAGGTTTGAATCCGGACTCAGTTGATTGAAGAGAAATGCCCTAACCACCAGGCAATCCACCACTTACATGGAGCAGTAAAATGAAGTTGTCTAGGCATTTGACTAATCCTTTGGGGGAGTTAAACCAAACTGAAACCTGGATGCATTGTTGCCTTGTGAGAGAAACTTCCATAAAATTGATTTACAATCACCATTGTACCTCGGGCTACTCATACAAAACCATGTTAAGAGAGTTTACTCATAACATTATATTAGTTATTAGTGACGTCATAGTGTCAACTACTTTTTTCTGTGTAATTTCTTGTCCTGGGTTACATTGTCACAATTCCAAGGACAAACCAATTCCCTTTTTTTAGTACAGATTCGGTTCGATTTTGAAAAGTTTGCTAATATGTGAAAGTGAATAAAAATATAAAAACAAAAAAACCAAACGAATATATGGTCACTGTTTGCTTCAAATTCTGGCGTTTAAACACTATTCACTTGTCAAACAAAAGCCATTTACCAAATATAATGGAAAAGCATACCCATAATTTATAAATTTTTAGTGTCTTATCAAGTGTTCTGCATTTTTTCAATTATAATTACCTTTAAGATAGTAAAGGCTTTTTCAGAAATTTGGATGACACATTTTCTGCAGAATTTCTTTCCCATTTTGTATAAGTTGGTGGAAAAAGTAAAAACATGGCAAGACTGGTTTTGTGACTCACTTTTACCGCTGATATACGATTCCCCGCGCTGGTTTGCTCAACAGTGACCCTCTCCACGCGCCCATCCACATAGCCATATTAGGCATTAGGACTGACTAGTGACTGTCACAGAGAGAGAGAGAGAGAGAGAGAGAGAGGAATTGGCCTTTGGGTTGGGTGGCTTTTTTGGCCTTTTGCCTTTTGTCCAACCTCCTCCAGTGAGGAAGAAAAGGAACAAACAACAGAAGAAAACAGTGACTTGAGCTCCTTGTTATAAGACCTAGAACCACCACTCAAAACCCCCACCTCTCTCTCTCTCTCTCTCCCTCTCCCTCTCTCGCACACTTCACTTTTGGTTCCATTTCTTCACACCAGCATGAACAACCACCACAGCAGCAGCCCTCTTCTTAGCAGCTGGGCTTACTACTGCCAAGGAAAGGTACCAAAGCAACCAAAAACAAACACAATTTTTGTAAATTTTCAGCTTCTTTGGAGCTTTCTGAACTTATAGTCTAATTTGCTCCTTGAATTTGCACAATGGGGTTTCTCTTCTCCACAATTTCATTCCCGACTTTCAATTTTACAACTTTACTTGGGTTTTGGTGAGCTTCTCATCATGCAAATTCAAGCACCTCCCGAGCCCTCGGGCGGAGTGTCCTGCTAACCCGAGGGCTGATGGCGTGCTTAAATTTGCATAATGGGGTTTCTATTTCTAACAATTTGAGACCCAAAACCTCAAATTTTATTACTTTTCTGAATTTTTTGCTAAAAATTTACAAACTTTTATGATCACACAGAGCATGGAAGAGTTGAGGCAGTCCCTTTTGTACACAACCGTGGAGCTTGAGCAAACAAGAGCAACAGTTCAAGAGGAGCTAAGAAAAAGAGATGATCAGATATCCCATCTCAAAGATCTGCTCCAAAAAGCCATCAGAGAAAGAGATGAAGCCCAAGGCAAATGCCACAGACTCCTCCTTGAAAAACTCCTCCTCCAACAAACCCAGCAGCAGCAACACCAGCAAACCCAGCAGAATCAGCAAACAGCTCCTCTCTCTGGAATTTCAAGCATTGAAGACGAACCCAGAAGAGGAATCGACTCCAACAATGGCTTCTCCTCCTCAGATTGTGAAGAAAGCATTGTTTCTTCCCCAGTTATTGACCCAATTCAGCAAACCCAGCAGCTGCCACCAGGACCATCATTGCCACACCCATCAGTGGAGCTGCTGCCTGAGAAGCCGCTGCCTGAAAAGGGAAAGCTTTTGCAGGCTGTGATGAAAGCCGGTCCGTTGCTTCAAACCCTACTTCTGGCAGGCCCTCTGCCGCAGTGGAGACACCCGCCGCCACCGCTGGAGTCGTTTGAGATCCCCCCTGTGACCATTCCTTCACCACCACCTCAACCACCATTGCACACCCAGCTCCAGCACCAAGACTCCTCCTTGGCCAACGTTAGCTGCGGCATAGTCAACAGAAAGAGAGTCCTCTGTGAGGGCTCTGCCTCTCCTCCAGAGACCAAGTTCCAAAGGGTTGCCCTCCGCTGACTCTGCAGCTGCTGCTTCAGATTATTAGTATTAATCTACCCCTTATTTTTACGGTTCGCTATTTTTAAAAATTAATACAACTAAAAGGTTAGTGAGGATGAAAACAAAACCATGAATTTCCAAAATTTCAATTGGGTTTTTGTGACTTATCCATCTAGCATTTGTACAGAGAGAGAGAGAGAGAGAGAGAGAGAGAGAGAGAGAGAGAGAGAGGTTTGTTTCCAGGTTAACTCAGCGAGAGAAGAAGGCAGTAAAAAATTCAGAGAGCTTTGTTTGTTTATTGGGGGTTTAGTTTTGCCTATTTTCTTTATGGCCCTTCACATTCTATTTTGGTCCATAATGTGAAAGGGGACTTGGAATTTTATCCAAATTGTTGTGGGATGGAAAATGTAACTCTGGATTCTAGTTCAGTAAGTTATGTTCATTTTGTTTGTCTTGGTCGGACGGGTAACGCGGTTCGGAAGCTCTGCCCCGGGATTTCTCTAGATTGAGACGGAGCAAATCAAACACTAAGATTGTAGGTGTGGAGTTGTTGAAGTTTTGGAGAAGATGGGTGGTGTGGCCAACAACCAGAAAGGTTAAGAGCCCTGCTTGTCGGTTTGAGTGGAACCCAAAAATCAGAATCAGGATCTGCTACTGGTGTGATGTATGATTATATATATACATATATATATATATATATATATATAAATATATATTTGGGGGGAAGCATGATTGTTCAAGTCCAATCCCCATGTTGAATTCTCTCAACATCAATATTTGTTCTCCCTCCTTTCTAGTTTAATTTTTAATTCTAAATTAACTAAAGCATTTTTTTTTTTCTAAGCTGCACCCACTTACTTGTTTATACTTATTTAGCTTGAGCCTTTATCTCTCAAAAGTGGAGCAAATTATTGCAGGTTAATCCTACTTGCCAATAGCATTTCATTACTAAAACATACTCAGTTGACTTTGCAGTTGCTAATTCATTGGCAATGAGCAATGCGGGCACACGTTAGGTACTCCCAAAACTTACGAGAGAAACTCAGTTGCAACGAGGTGTATACAGTTCTTTTTCTTCTCTCTTCTTACGTGTCGCGACTTGTAAAGAGAGAGACAGAGAGAAAGAAGCATATGTATATTGATAATACATCTTGTTGCAGCTAAAGTCGTTTAGAAAATGAAGGTAGAAGCCCAGTTTACTATTCCAAGTGAAAATTGAGAGCCGAGTACAATATATTCCATCAGTTGTGGCACCATCAAATGCTATTAGGTAAATATTAGTAAGTTTTGGTAGATAGAAGAAGTCATGGAGCAATTTTGGTTGTATGCACAGCTCAAATAGTTGCAATCCTTGTATGTATGGGACTTAGGCCACAAGTGAGCCAAGTGACAAGACGTTAGGTTTTCAACAAGAAAACAACTCGACTTGCACATGGAGACACGTCACATGTGACGTTCCAAACCAAAGCTCTCTAATATAGCAATTCCCCGGCCCATACTATTCTCTTGTAAAGTATGGTTTGTTGTTAAAATAATTACATTTCAATTAGTTCGTGTTTTGGCGAGAGATTTTCACTTCTTAGGTCCGGTTATAATTGAATGGATTACAAAATGTTAGGCTGAGGAGGTTATGAATATTGTCTATGAGCATTACAAGGGCATGCGAGAGGGATTTGCAGCTGGCTTTTTTTTAGTAGGAATTGACAAATTACTCACATATCTTTTGTAATGCTCATGGAGCACATTCTCAATACTTTAAAAACTTAGTCCTGATGTAAATATTCCAGAGAAATTTTAATTCAACCCAAACTACGAGAATGAGATTTGCGAACTTTAGAATAGAAGGAGAGCATATTGATCTAGCAAACTTAACTAGATCAAGTGCATAAGTATTATTTTAAGTGTACTTAGAAGACAATCATGTGGCGTTACTATTCTACTCAAAATATAGCTTGTGGATTTGTTTTTTTATTAATATACCTTAAAAGTTAGACATATCAACTATATCGTCTACTTTTAGAATAATACTTCATATAACTTGTGTTTCAGCTTATAACACGTAAATTAAGTGCTTGTAAGTTCAAACTTACACATTATACTTTTGTTATTATACAGTTTAAACCTATATGAAACATGGGATTAAATTATATAGTAATGTAGTAGTGGTTTACAACTACAAGAGGAAAGTTCCTTGGAAGCCAGAGTGATTGCAATTTTATTGCCCATCGTTCGAGTCATCCTCCAAATTGAAAACGTAACTCCATGGGCTTTTCAAATCCACCAATAATAATACATACATAACAATAATTATGCGACTGTTTCAAATTTTCTTTTGATTGTACACATTTAACAAATAAAAACTAACAACGTGTATCAACAGTCGACAATCAACCACACTTATAACAAAAGTTGAAAAAGCTAACATTTTGAGTAACAGAGAAGACTTAAGGACCAAACAATTCCACATCGATAATGCACTTGAAATCTTCACCGGAGATTGGTACTGAAGTTGAAGGGACTTGAAACTTTCACCGGCCAGCCCGAACCGTGCCCAACCCTACTAATAACTCAAAATACGTTAAAGTTTCTGGAGGCAAATGTGAAAAACCCATAACTAGTTAGAATATTTGGACCAAAAGGAAAAACAATCCAAATCCTGAAGCGGTGGCTGACTAAAATCATTGCTTGTTCAACACGGCAGAGGCTAAAGGAATCGAAGATTCACTGGTTTGAGAATGACCCTCTTGACCAACAGCTCATGGTTCAAAGGATTAAGACAAGACCTCCCTAATCTTAATCCTAATCCCATCCCTTCAAACTGGAAGCATCTCTGTCACATCCCCTTCTTCTCCTTTGTTATCATTACATCTTAGAACTAGGACTTCTAGACCATTCTATACATTACATTACCCTTCTTTTGGGGGTTTGAAGATTTGATGCAGCCATGTACTCAAGTAACATGGCGGAATCGTATTTTTAGGCGCAATGTGTTGAAATGGATGTAGACAAGCACACAACACAGCTGTGCCTATGCTATTATGAAAGAAATATGCTAGGGACAGTCGCCAAGGCGTGCAAGAATGACTCCTGGTCGTTGATGTAAGTGTGGGCCCAACCGCATCATTGGGCGGAGTTAACAATGTTTGCACACAATATGAACTCGAGAGTTTCGTAACAAACAATTAAATCCTAAATGATGAGCAGCCCAATATAAAATTCTCAATGTTTTGACTCCTCTATATGTAGCCTCTGGCACCAGACTATGGGTGAAAGCACCCAAGAACGGCAATCCATCATGTAACGCTTAAACTCTATCGGCCTAAACTTTAAAAATTCACATTGAGATACTCACATGACTGCTGCTTTCTTTACTCAGAAGACATCGGCTCCGTTGTCAATTTGATTGTTTGAATGGTTGATGGCTTGAGCATTATACAACTCCGCTACCTGAACTTAGAACAAGTGTGTGAGAGCAGATACATATCAATATTGTACAATTTTGCGTTTCAAATTAACTTTCTTCACCTGTTCAGACGATCTGGCTTGCTCTGGAGGTTTATCTCCCCGAACACGAATTAGACATGGAAAGCGGAGAGAGATACCCTGATCTCACGTGCACATAGAATTAGATGAAGAAAACACATCATCTAATTCACATTTCACAAAGTAATAGCAAATATTGACAAGTAAAATAAAACATAATCCAGTGAACACTTTGATAATTCACATTTCACAAATTTGTAGTTTACCACTTTGATAATTTCTTTATATTCTGCAAACAAGTTGAGACTTATAGTAGCTCAACCCATGGAACAATTTTACAAACTAATACACATGCGAGAAATAATTCAAAAAGAACACCATTCCATGAATTTTGATGGTAACTTTTACTTGTATCAAAAACAGGATCAATCTAGTCTTTTATATGGATTTTCTCAAAGATCTATCCGTACAGCTTCAGAATCCAAACTACTGGACGGATCAAATACTGTCCAGGATGTGCTTCAACGAAAAGGTAATCAGGGCCAACAATTCTAACTCTTTGGATACGTTTGTTCCTCGGGACTAGCATCCCGGATAGGGCTAGTTTTATCCTGATTCTATCAAACATGGCCTTATTTTGGAACCAGACTGGGGGTGACTCATGCATCCTTAGGTCTCACTGTTCTGGCCAAGTTGAAAACGGGGGCCAAAGAAGCCCTACTTCTCACTTTGTCAACTCTAACGACGAGAGCCCTACTGGTTTCTCCTACTTCTTATAGCTGATGGAGGTGTACAGGTGTACAGGTGTAGCATTAAGTGATAACTGGGACTGGTGTCAGGTCTGGGAAGTCTTTTATAAATACTATTACATGTTTTTTTACAGCTCTGTGGGCACTATCTTGCCTTCTAGTGAAAACACGCCAAACATGGGACAAAAATAAATTCACGCCAAGTAAATCTACGCTAATTCCTGTAAGTAGTCCAAGCCAGGCAAATCCTGTATATCAAACATGCCCTGAATGTGCAAAATGAACTCGGCAACACAATCGAAGTGCTGAGGGAGTTCTATTAAAGAGGTATATGCACAGAACAAAAAGGCAATGGTTACTACCTCTGAGGGATCAAACCATACATCTGGATTCAATGAATCAGAATACCTATAATATGACTGGAATTGACAAGAACGCAAAATTAGCAAGAGAATCCGAAGAACCAAATACGTAAAAATCAGACCGAAAGAAGGAATCATAGACCTTAGGTTTGGGTATCACTTTAGTAAGGAGACTGGCAGAACGTTCTTCAAGCATTGCTTCAGTGAGTCCAGTGCCTGTATAGCATCAAGATATACAGCAGACCGATCAGTAATAGGTACAACAGATTTGGAAATCACTGAAAAAGTTGCAAACACGTACATAAATAAATTGCACTGACCTACTTTACAAATGCTTTGAAACTCTTCATTATTGCTATCATAACAAGCGAGGAGAATGCACCATAGACACCTAAGGAAGACCAAGATCATGATGTCAGCTCCACCTTGTCTTTCAATGTAAGAATAAGACGATGACAGTTTAAAGAAGAAGAATATTGCATCACTGCTACACTGAAGATAAAACTAATAGATGTAAATTGCAACCCTAGTGTAGATGATAACACCTTGTTCCATCTCTTCTTGCGCTTTATTTTTCAGTTTCATTAAAGTTAAAATTTTCCTATGAAGTAATACTATTGATGCCCTAAGGCATCCTCAACCAAGAAAAAACCACTAGAAAAGGACAGTTGGCACTTTAAACTTCACGCACTCCCCATTCTAGACACATGAAACTAATACATAGAGATCGAATGGCAAGATGTAAAGTTTCAATAGGTGAAATCTTGAATGATACTACTGCCCATTACTTTGTTACATGTATGTAGAATATAACCTTTTCCCATTAATAATTAACTTCTATTACACCAGAGGTGCATCCTTCCCGGTCCTCTCATACTGGGGAAAGGTCATTGCAATGCTCTAACGCCCACACCAGATATGGACCTAATGACCGAGAAAAAAAAAAAAGGCTTTGTGTTCTCCAAGTGGTCTTAGTGTGCTAGCCGCTGCTTCATTTATAAACCTTTTGGCAGTTTTTGTTCCTAAAGGAAATTAGAGATGCCACTGAAAGCTGCTTAATCAAACTGGTTATATACCAATCCAAACATTTACCTGCTTCAAAAACTAAGGGAAGCTATCAGCATTTTGTTTTCCACTGCGGACATAAATATAAATTCAACTCATGAATAGGAACGACAAAGATAGAGACTCAATGAAAAACAATGACCTCCTTACATCCTAACAACATCAAGAAAAAGAAATAGTAAATTTCGAAGTCAATTCGTTTTACTCTACTAAATAATCAATCAGACATGCTGGTCATACGATATGCAGGACTTGGATATTGGTTATTAATTTCCAGAGAAGCCCAATTGCTCCCATCCAAAAGAGAAATAACAGTAAATTGTAAACTGAATTGAGAAGAAAGAAAAAAGCTATACCTCTCTACGAACTTTCAGTTGTTCCTGAATAAGTGGTCGGCCATTAATATACAACATATCAAAAGAAAATATGCAGACTTCAACCTTGATATCACTCACGCTCACATTTTTACGAGGTCTAGTGCTGAGTACCTGAAACGATAATATCTCATGAAGTCTTTTATATCCTAACTCAACAATAATCAAAATTAGAGGGTAACTGCTGCTCTTCCGTAAGTGCTTTACTCAAAATGTTTTGACTTACATTTGAGAAGATTTCTGGGACGAAAACAAATATGGAGTCAGCCCAACTCCTATAGGTGGGTAGGAAACCATCATGAAGAGCACCAAGAATAAAATCTGGACTGCAGTGCGGAAATAATTTACCTGGAACGGCAGAATTTTCTGTTTTTCACAGTCGTAAGCAACGATTTCGCAATCCAAAACAAATGATGTTACATATGACTTCTTTAACCTGCAAGCTGACAGAAAATATTAGTAGATAAAAATTCAGGAGCACAATTAACATTCTGGATAAAATGAGGTTGGATAACATGAAGTTGCCACCATAGAGCTCTTTCATGATAAATAAATAACCAACAAACTATTTACCCATCGCTCACGGTTAAATGCACTTCCGATTGATTCAGTTTATATTACCAGAGAACTCAAACTTTTGGATTTTATTCCAGAGTAACAAACTCCCCACGTATTCTCACACCTAAGTTCAATATGCAATATCATACAACCAAGATAGAAGCGTACCTCGACACTGCAACAACAACATCAGGGTACTTTCCAGTGTTTCTTTCAGCATTTCGACTGTATATCTCAACACGATCGTATACAACATATCACAAAGCAAACAAGATTACATGCTGGAATTAACAAGATGGTATCACCTGGGCACGTTCTCCATCATACTTGTATTCACTTATGTATTCTGTATCCTGAAACTTCTGTACAATCTCAGATACCCCTTTAGTTGGTTTTGCTAGCATAGGTCCAACTGGGACACCCAAAGTAAAGTTGCATATCTCTGGAAGATTCCACACGCTGCCACTTAAAAGGGCAGGGACGATTTTACCGTAGCTGATTGGAAATACTTATATTTTCATAAAATCAAGCATATTTGTATAACAGCCAAAATTCTTGTTATCTACTAAATAACCCTACAAGACACAAAAGGATCTAAACACTTATCATATTGCCAATTCAGTAGCATATAATATACTCAGTATCTTCACAGTCAGTAGCAGCAACAAGAAGTGCCTTGATATGGTATTTTTTTTCTTCTCCTGACTATCCTTCCCAGATTCCTGTTAAATTTCAAAAGCGAGGGTAAGTTAATTACAAGAAAAATGTCCTATAATTTAAAATTTAACCCCTCCGCAGAAGCTTCATATCTTATCCACCAGTAATGGTAAAATTACCAAAGAGAAAAAAGTTCACCAGCTGAGCTAACTGCATCCCGTACAGTATAATATTATTTTGGTCAACTACATTTGGTAAAATCTAACCATCTCCACAATAGTTATTTTCCCTAAATATTTACAATAATTTGGTACATCAAAAGTAAAAGGGAAATTCTCCTTGATAAACAACATGAAGGAACATAATTTAACCCCTTTTAGCTTTCATAATTCGTAAATACAATAATCGTCCTTTTGTTTCTAGTTCTAGCTAAAATGAAAATTTCCAAACAAAATGTTCTTTTGAGAAGAAACATAAAGGCAGTGTCAAGGGCAGTGGACTTTGATCACCACCAAATTTACACTCACACATTGTTTTGAAAATGTGATAACTTATTAACAGAATCCATATAAAGTTATAGTACTCGAAAAGGCGAAAAAAAAAAAAAAAATCAATTGAGAAAAAAAATTGTACTTATCAAGTCCAGGCCCCTACATAAAGCAGCTCATGGCAAGTCGACGAAATGTACTGAAAACCTTGGTGACTGTTAATGCGTCAGGCTTGCGAAGAATGGTCTCCGTTTGCAACACGACCCAGATCTCCCTTTTCCTATAAATTTGAACCTCATTTATCAGTAAAGGAAAGAAAAATGAACTGCATAATGAGAGTGAAGTTCCTAGAAGATTTAAAACACAAAAAGCATGTAACGTGACAGGTAACTCAGATAGTAGAAGATTTAAAAAATCCCACACAACTCGCCATGATGTAATGACACAAATCAACTATGTCGGGCAAGGATTTATGACTTTTCGGTTCATTAACCTCCCTGCATTATATCTGTTATAACTTGCTCTACATCTTCCACAATTGCACAAAGAGAGAGTAACAGAAGAACAATACAAACAATACAATTTCATTAACTGCCTTTCCATCTTTACAATCTCCTATTTATCCATTAACAAGTAACTAACTACTAACAACCTTGTACAGATGTCATCATCCTAGTATGCCATCTGGCAGTATCCTAACAATACCCCTCCCTTAAAACCAATCTTACAAAGTAAGATTTACAATTTGAACTAAGTACAATTGAAAACCAGCAATAAAACCGGGAACAACAAAATCACAAGAATGTATCAAAGGATCAACAATTTCTGAAAACTGGAGCTTCAAATCACTCCTTCAACGTCAATTAGTGAAGAACCAATTTTCTGACAAATCAGCGACAAATGCAGAAAGTTGATCCTTGACCTTTATCCAGGACCATCCCAGCTCCTTAATTACCCCCTTGGATCTCATCATTTTCCTTACTTCTACCGCTTCCCTCCATTTTCCTTTAGCAGCATACATGTTGGCCAGGGTTATGTGAGTCGCTGTACAACTCGGATCCAATTTAAGGATCTCATCTACAGCACGTCTTCCACAGTCGGTGTCACCATGGAGCCTAAAAGCTCTAAGGAGAGTAGACCAAACAACAGTATCCTGTTGAAATGGCATACTTTTGATCATATCCTCTGCCTCACCTAACCGTCCAGCTTGATAGAGGAGATCAACGAGCAGCCATAGTGTTCTTTTGTAGGATTAATCCCAAAGTCATTGCTCATTGAATTGTAGTGGAAACCAAGATCAACCATTCCAGCATGGCAACAAGCAACAAGAACACCGATGAAGGTCACCAAGTCTAGTTTCAGACCAACCCTAGGAATCTTCTTAAACAGAACAATGGGTTCTCGGTAGAACCCATGTTCAGCATATCCATTAATCATCGCCGTCCATGAAATAATATCACTAAGTTCTGTCACATCAAAGATCTTTGCAGCTTCTTTTATACTTCCACATTTCGAATGCATATTCACAAGAGCACTTTGTACCATAGATGTAAACTCTAAACCGACAAACAGAACATGAGCGTGCAGTTGTTTCCCTTGTTCAAGCATTGCCATGCTTCCACAAACACTCAATACACTAGCAAGAGCAAACTCATTTGGTTGTGGTCCGTCCTTTCTCATCCACGACAAAAACTGAAAAGCTTCTTCCCCGTAACCTCCTTGAGAATACCCGGCAATTAAAGTGCTCCATGAAACAATATCTCTCCTGCTCATCTCATGAAACACCTTAGAACCTGAAGCCAAACACCCACATTTCGCATACATGGTTACAATGGAATTTCCCACCAACAACAAAGAGATAAGACCCCTTTGTAAAACGTGGGCATGCAATTGTTCACCCCATTCAACTCTAGCAAGATTGGCAACTCTAGATATGACACCTGCAAAAGTGTATTCGTTAGGACTGACACCGGCTTCCTGCACTCTTATAAAGGCTTTGATTGCACGGTCCTCTTGACCTGTCCAAACATAAGTTGTAATGATTGAAGTCCATGAAAAGACATCTTGTATCCTCATTTTTTCAAACAACTGCAACCCGTAGTCTAATTTGCCACCACCCTTATCCTGAATGCCCTTGCAGTAGTCACGATCGAGAACAACATAGCAAACAACACAGCAAGCAGTTTCAAATATGGAGAGAGGGAACTTTCTTTCATTTTTTCTGTTCTTGTCCATAAAAGCTTCTAAATTACCAGCATACTCCCTATGAATGATCATGGAAGAATCAAAACTCACCTCACATTTGACCACCTTGGAACAATCAGCAACACAATCTTTATTCTGGGACTTCGAATTGAAAAGCCTCTGACTAATTGTTCCACCCTTGTCCCGAATTCCCTTGCAGTAGTAGCCCATGGAACGATTGATAACACAGAAACTTGAGTCCTCACAGCTTGCCAATAAATCCATTGACTCAAAACTGGAGAGAAACTTGGTACCTCCTTTATCACAAATGCTTGTATGGTAGCCAAGTTTAATATCAAGAATGTAACCTTAGTTCGACATTTTGTCGAGCAGGTAGAGTGCACGCGAACCAGGCAATTTAGCTTTCTTGAACTCAACATTAGAAACATGAATTTCCAAAATGAAAACTTTGGATTTGCCATTCTTACAATCAGATTCAAGAACAGTCGCTGATTTCGAATGAAGAATCTTTGAATATTTGTTCTGCCTTTGTCACGAGTGAATTCATGGAAGCCAAGCTTCAAAGAAGCAATGTCGACCGTTTGCTGCAGTCCAACAAACACATGGTGGGCATCATTTTCACCAGATTTCGCAACCGAAATTAAAACCACTTCAGGGAAAGAACCCACTTCAGGAAAAGAACAAAGACCCACATCACAGAGCAAGGAGTCTTCACCTTTCTTGGCCAACAATTTCGAAGCATAATTTTTTTTCTCCGTTCCTATAAAGTCACAATCAGAAACAGGGAACCCAGAAACCAAATCGTTTGTGGCACCTGTTTTGTAATCAAAATCAAGAAATGGAGGACTTTGCACAGAATCTTTAGCTTCCCTGTCAAACAAATCGAAAACCTTCTCGTTCTCCCCAGCCAGAACTTTCAAAGAAAACCCAAAACTTACTTGAAATCTGGGGTTGGAACGAAATGTCGCAGAATCATCGTCGTGGTGTTTGCCGTAGTCGGGGAACCTTCTTGAATCTCTTCAATATGGGTTGCAGACAAGGAGGACTTTTGGGCTTGTATTTTGGACGGTACTGAGACAAGAATTCATCCACCTTCTCTCGGGCACGAACCTTTTCCTTGTGGAAGGATTGAAGCTTGAGAACAATTTGATTAGACTTCTCAAGAGAGAGAGGAGATGTCGATTTGATGAACGGCTGATGCGTCGGTGTAGCTGCAGAAGATTCCACACCAAGTTTTTCCGCAAGCAACTTCAATTGAAGAAGAATTAAATCAGTGGTAGTCTTGAAATCGGTCCGAAATTTGGCCTGAGAAATCCTGAATTCTTCTTGAGACTTCTTGAACTCGTCGGACTTGGCTTCCCGATTGGAAACCCTCGATTCCATGGTTTTGCAAAACGTTTGCGGCGGTATACAACGGAGAAGGATACACAAAACCCACATTGGTAATACCTTCTATTGCTTCTATTGCGGGTGCAATCCTATTGGCCGCAAGATAGATCATAGGAACCAAATCCTCAGGCGTGGTGTACATTACAGTCCTCAACATGTTACAAACAATATCCGTGATCACAATCCGACCTGTCTCTTTGTCAAGCAAATCGAAAACCAAACAAACAAACACAAAAGGAATCCTCTCGCCCTGGCCCCAATTCGCCACCAATTTCGGGTCAAATTCCCTGGCTTTCTTCTTCAATAGCGGCATTCGGCTCTTCAATTCCTCAGTCCGCTCCTCAGCACCCGCCGCCACACACACTTTCTTCCCTGCTGGAACTACCTCGTTGCCGCCACAGCTCGAATTTTCTTGAGCTTCTTTGATTTCCTTGGATTCCGGAGCTTTAAGTTCCACGGATTCTGGGTCCTGGGTTGTACGGCACTTTCGAGCGTAGATAGCAATTGGGGGTTTTCGATAGGATTAGTGGGGTCTAGGGTTTTTCGCTTCTTGGATGAAGAAGGCTGGAGCTTTTTCTTGGCGGCGGGGCGCCGGACATGAGTACGTCGAAGGCGGAGGGGCGGGAGGACATGGCGCGAATATTAGGGCTTTGGGGGGAGAGGGAAATGAGAGGAAGAGAATATCGTTTAGGGCAGAAGAGGGAGATGGGGTTGTGTAGACGGCGGCGAGAGCGGAGACGAAGACAATGACATGAACAGAGAGATCGTGAGAGCATCAAATGGAGAGCATTTGGGAGAGTGAGGGTGTGAGACTCAAGAGAGAAATGGCGGGAAATGTCGTTCAGCGTTCTAACTAACTATCAAGAATTAAAACTTAAAAAATCTCTTTCTCCAGTTCAAACTTTCTATAGGAAAGAAAAATACACTTATGAACAAAGCAGTGTAGAGTGAGATTTTTGGAGTGCCAATAACACTTCCATTTGTTTATTCTTGTAATTATTATTGGCAGTCCAAACATCATAATCGATAATTTGGAAAATAATACTAGTCCTAAAAATATTGATGTATTTGGAGTTTAACTGTTTTTAAGTTGAAAATTATAAAGAAAATGATTGATCTTGTCAATCAAGATTCAAATGAAATATGGTGAAATAAATATTAAATCAATGTGTTACCCTCAATTTATTAAAAAAAGAAAAAGAAAAAGAAAGATCATCAAATTGTCAAACCACGAAAAATCGACAATCTCATAAGTTTGGTTGTTTTTCTTTTTGGGATTTTTGATTTTGCCGACCTCTAGTTTTCACACTAAATATAAGACTAGTCTTGTAATTCAAAAGAGTTATGTTGAATTTAGTAAGATAAAGTGTGATGAATTTGCTACAATTGCGGGTTTCGCTTTCGTTCTGGTCTTGTGCCATGCCCTATAATTTAGAGAATCATAAATGCTTCAGTTAGGAAATTGGATTGAATTTTGCTCCAAGTTGTCTTAGCCGCCAAGAAAGAGATCTTTTAAGCATGATAGGGTTCAAATAGCACGTAGCGTTTCCAGACAATCTTTCCAATTTGCCTCAAAAGCAAGAAGCAGTGCATCCTCATTATCTTCTAGTCACTACAACCCTACATGGATACAAGGTTTTCACTGAAAAGAATTCAAATTTCAACATTTGCACCTAAGAACACGATCTACAATTTTTGTAACAATTCTTGACAAATCTCAAGATTGTTAATACCAAAGTAACAGCGGAACAACTTAGTGTAATTCGTAATAATTCGGTGTTTATTCACAAATTAAACATCCATATTTATAGAATGAATGACCATAAACTCAAACAGAAATTGAGGAACTTGCAGAGAAACGGAAGATCATAAGGTGATATCGTGGATGATTCCTAGTCATTGATGTAAGTGTCGAGACAACCACATCAATGGCCGGAGTGAACCATGTTTGCACACATGGGCCACTATCCGAAGCACTGACGGATCCATATAGGGACCCGGGGGGACCCGGGATCCTTCGGAAGCCCAAAAAACACTTGTGATCGACCTTCAGTACCTTCCAACAATTTGGGCAGGTGTAGTGGAGAGGCTTGTTGCCTCCATGGATGTGCAGGCAGCATTGCTTATAACAAAGAAGAAGAATAGGTTTTTAGCTTTTGTTTTAAAAGACCTAGCCAAATCGACAGCGTTTTTGAGCCAGGTCATTATAAAAAATTTAAAAACTAAAATATCTTTGTTTTCTCTATAGAGCCTGAGAACCCCGGTCTTTTCTAGTATCTCCAAATTATATTTAAGAACTCCCAGCACCAATCGTCGCGACCTTCCAACTTTAAATCCAAGTTACCCTATTCCCCACCACCATTTGCCCTTCCACCGCCTTTAGCTGCCTAATTTTATTTCTTCCAAATTCATATACGTTTTTTAATCCTAGACTCTAGTTGTAACTCCTAATTAATAATATATATATATATATATATGTTACATTAACAAATTTTATCTTTGTAGAGTCACTCATTGCGTTATGTTATTGAGAAGAATTTGCTGGTTTTATTACCTTTGAGATTAATCTTGATTTATTCAATGAACCAAATTCAGTAGAAAATAGTGATATGGAACAAAATTAGTCTAATATTTTTTTTTCTTTTTTTGAGCTTTTATGTTCGGACCCCCCGAGCTTGAAATTCTGGATCCGCCACTGATCCTAAGCATTCCTGAATTTGAATTAGAGACAATTATTTCGTTGAATTTGAATTTGAGATATGTTGCACCTTTTATCGTTTTAAAAGTTCACATTGAGATACTTACACATGCTATATCAACATGTATGTAGATCTCTTTACACAGAAGCCATCTCTAGAAATGAGTAGAATATGAGCACTCTGTTCCCTAATCATCTTCGCTGTCATCTTTGGTGCCATCTTTGTACATGTTGGCAATCTGAACTTCACAGAAGTGTGAGAAAAAATATCCATAGAATACAATCTTGTATTTCAAATTAACTTTCTTCACCTACTTCAATGATGTGGCTTGCTCCAAAGATTTAGTGTTCGTTTGGAAGTATTTTTAAAATGACTAAAAGTGTTTCTAGTGAAAATGCTTATGGAACTATTCCTTAGTAAAAGTGCAAGAGAATCCCAAAAAAATACTTTTAAGTGTTTTTAGAACCTAACAACATTCATGCAAAATGTGTCTTCAGTCATTCTAGGACAAAATGATATCAAGGGCATTATGAGAAGAAGTTGTAGTCCAGCAAGTCTAGCACTTAGGGCTAGTTTGGTTTTGTTGTGCTTTGAAAAAAAACTGATTCTGCTGTGCTGTAAGAATAAGCAGTTGTGAAATAAAGTAGCAGAGTGTAGAGTGTTTGGTAAACTTTTTTGTAAAAGTGCTTTTGAAAAAAAAAAAGAGTAGTATTATAGTGTTTGATAAACGTTTATGTAAAACAGATGTGAAAAAAAGCTGGTTTTTCAAAACTGGGTTTTGCAGCTTTGTGTTTTAGGCTTGTTTTCATCCAAAACTGTGAAAAAAAGCTGAAGTTGAATGTTTACCAAATATAAAAAAGCTCCCAGCTTTTTTTTATAGCCAGAATCATCTCAGTACTAAACTTGGGCTTAGAAGCAGAAGTACAAGCCTACCTATGTAACTATCCTTAATTGCATTGTTTTGACAACTAAAAAACATAGGAATTCTAAATTTCATTAACCTTCTATCTTTCTAACCGGAAAACTTCCGTCACTAGAGATTAAGGGGAAAAAGAAGTTCATTTGACAAAGTCCCAAGCATGCAAAAAAGTAGTTCACTTAGTGTGCTTGTTGTCCTCAGTCAAATCATGTTGCACACATTTCAATAAATATCGACATATGCTTAAACAATCTGATGAATGATATCGAGATAATTCATCTAGTGTTGACAAAACTTATCGAGATAATGCCTAACGAACATTACATTAAACATTTGATGGGCACATATAAAATATTAGTCGATGCACTGTTGCTATTGTTATAAGACACATGTATATGTATCCTTAATTAAGCATCAAAGGTGTCACATCCCGGCCCGGGGCGGATTACTTCCCGGGTCCGCTCCACCACCATAGCACGATATTGTCCGCTTTGGGCTTACCATTCCCTCACGGTTTTGTTTTTGGGAACTCACGAGCAACTTCCCAGTGGGTCACCCATCATGGGATTGCTCTAGCCTCCTTCTCGCTTAACTTCAGAGTTCCTACGGAACCCGAAGCCAGTGAGCTCCCAAAAGGCCTCGTGCTAGGTAGGGATTGGAATATACATTTAAGGATCACTCCCCTTGGCGATGTGGGATGTCACAATCCACCCCCCTTAGGGGCCCGACGTCCTTGTCGGCACATACGCAACCAGGGTTAGGCTCTGATACCAATTTGTCACATCCCGGCCCGGGACGGATCACTTCCCTGGCCTGACTCCACCACCGTAGCACGATATTGTCCGCTTTGGGCTTACCATTCCCTCACGGTTTTGTTTTTGGGAACTCACGAGCAACTTCCTAGTGGGTCACCCATCATGGGATTGCTCTAGCCCCCTTCTCGCTTAACTTCGGAGTTCCTACGGAACCCGAAGCCAGTGAGCTCCCAAAAGGCCTCGTGCTAGGTAGGGATGGGAATATACATTTAAGGATCACTCCCCTGGGCGATGTGGGATGTCACAATCCACCCCCCTTAGGGGCCCGACGTCCTCGTCAGCACATCACGACCAGGGTTAGGCTCTGATACCAAATTGTCACATCCCCGCCCGGGGCGGAATGTGACAATTGGTATCAGAGCCTAACCTTAGTTGCGTATGTGCCGACGAGGACGTCGGGCCCCTAAGGGGGGTGGATTGTGACATCCCACATCGCCGAGGGGAGTGATCCTTAAATGTATATTCCAATCCCTACCTAGCACGAGGCCTTTTTGGGAATTCACGAGCAACTTCCCAGTGGGTCACCCATCATGGGATTGCTCTAGCCTCCTTCTCGCTTAACTTCAGAGTTCCTACGAAATCCGAAGCCAGTGAGCTCCCAAAAGGCCTCGTGCTAGGTAGGGATTGGAATATACATTTAAGGATCACTCCCCTCGGCAATGTGGGATGTCACAATCCACCCCCCTTAGGGGCCCGACGTCCTCGTCGGCACATACGCAACCAGGGTTAGGCTCTGATACCAAATTGTCACATCCCAGCCCGGGGCGGATCACTTCCCGGGCCCGCTCCACCACCGTAGCACAATATTGTCCGCTTTGGGCTTACCATTCCCTCACGGTTTTGTTTTTAGGAACTCACGAGCAACTTCCCAGTGGGTTACCCATCATGAGATTGCTCTAGCCCCCTTCTCGCTTAACTTCGAAGTTCCTACGGAACTCGAAGCCAGTGAGCTCCCAAAAGGCCTCGTGCTAGGTAAGGATGGGAATATACATTTAAGGATCACTACCTTGGGCGATGTGGGATGTCACAAAAGGGCACAATCAACTTTTGTGCACAATGCCCATTTTTTTTTGTAATGTTCACTTGTATATTTTCAATACTCCGAGTGGTTCTGGAACTACCTTACTCCCAATATACATCACACACCATGTACAAAGGGAATCATCCGTAACATTTGTGTTCTGGCTTCCCATCTAGGGTATGTTGTGTTTAAATTCTCTACTCGATGTGTAGTAAAGCAACTCATGAAGTGGTTGCCTTTGTGTTTAGAGAACACAGTGTTTTTAGGTAGGATCAATTTGAACCCATTTGACTCTTTAATATTTTAGTGGCTGATGCAATAACATTGGCTTTTTTGTGAAAAGAAAAGAAAAAATAGAAGATGAATTACTTACTAGTTTAGGAGAACTTTCTTTCATGTCTAAGTTTCTTAACATGAAAAGTTATTTTCTTTATCCTTAATCTATTTTAAATTAAAAAATTATTTTGTCATCTAGTACTGCGGTTTAGTGATATTCCTCTTCACTCGTAAGTGAGAGGTTTTAGGTTCAATTCTTGCCAAAGGCAAATTTGAATCACATTGTGAAACTAAGTCCAACCCCCTCACTTTTTTTACACTTTTTACACTAAGGGAAGGGGGAAATTTGGTTATGTCACACAATCGGCAACCTAATTTGGTATCGAATTCACCATCCACAATATTCAAATATAAGATCTCTCACTTCCAAATGAAAATAAATATCACCAGATCGTAATACTAAGTGATCACCCCCTCACTTTTAGTGTAGATTATATCGTTTCGTTTGTTCACAAAAAAAAAAAAAAAAAAAATGAAATTATCTTATTCACCTCGAACTTGTAACAAGGCAGCATGTGTCCTTCAATAGGATAACTTTGAACCTGTAACCTTATTTAATATTTTTTCTGCTAATGTTAATGTTTCTATCCATATTTGATTATCAATAAAATCAATTTATGGTTAGTAAAATTTCTAGATACAACATGAGGCCTGAATTGAATAAAATGTTTGAAGGCCCCAATCTATAACACATGATAAATGACATTGATAATACAGCAATGCCCTCGTTAACAAGCTACTCGGTGCCATGTTTTGTGGGATTTTGAATTTTCTAATATTTTGGACCATATGGCGATGATCATCAATTAATTTAGAAAGTTGAAGAACATTACAAATATTATTGTCATTTAGTACTTTGATCTAATTGTATTCTTTTTCATTTGTAAGAGTGGTGGTTTAGATTCGAGTCATGTTAAAGACGAATTTAAACCACATTATTACTAACTCGTTGTGAGACCTAGCTCATTCGTTTGTTGAAAAAAAAAACATTATAAACATTATTTGGCCAAAAAGATTAATTCAAAAATGATAAAGAACGACTGAAATAAGGGAGCAATAATATTGTATTATGTCGTTTATAGAACAAACAAAAAAAAGATATCCACCAAAAGTTATGCAAGATTTGTGAGACTAAGTCTCTACAAACTTCCTACCACATATAATAGACCTATTTTTTTTTTTTTTTAAAAGGGGGAATAGGGAAGTGATTTCCTCTTACACACGATTATAATTATGACATTTGAATTGAATACAATTTTTTCTTAATGAAACGATAGTGCTAGTGAGTTAGATATTTAATTGTTAAGGGTAGAGGGAGAAATCAGTGAGGATCAAACTTGTATGAGGGTGCACAAATATGATTATTTTTCGGCACTGAGGTAAAACATCATCTACTTGAATTGAATAATCTAAAGGAAGTTTTAACGAAAAGTCTACGGTACTGTTCACTTTAACGAAAAACCATATTTTTACACTAAAAAGTCAAACTTGGTACTATTTACTTTACCCTTTATTTTGTCCTTATCGTTAAAACTCAAAGTTTTCAAACTATTTTTTTTATTAATTTTCCTTAATCTAAAAGATAATCAAGAGACAAAAATAAATAGATATGTGGAGAATGAGAAAATGGATGTGCGAAAATAATTTCTTCTATTAAAGTATTATTCCAACAATTCGTCAATTACCCTAATGTTAATGTCTCATCTTTAAAGCAGGTGCTATCATCATTCGACTGACATCTAAGCTCATGAAGTTATTATAGAGTAACAATTTTGGCAATCCCATTTTAACTTGTAACAACTCTCAGTGAATTACTTCCTAATGAGAAGTGTTACTGATACTCTAAAAATCTCATTCTACATTCTTCATAAGTGTATTTTTTTTCCTAATAGGAGTATAGAATGTGATTTTTAAACTGTTAATAACAATTCTCTTCCTAATTTATCCACACTCACAGACTCACAGTAAAAGTGCCAAAAACTGAATTGAAAGTACGAAAATCACTACTTTTATTCCAACACCTAACACACACATGGAAACAAATGATAACGGAAACCCTCCAACCAAGTTGACAAATTATCTTAAACAATTGGATTTCGTGTCAAACACACGGTCCAACACACTAAGTTTCATAGTACAATTGATTGAAAATTTGAAGGAAAAAAATAAATCCCAACTAATTATATTATAATATTTGATGTACCGGATTGTGTTTCTAGCATACTGAAAAAATTCTATTTGATTTCGTGTCAAACACACGATCCGACACACTAATTTTCATAATACAATTTATTGAAAACTTGAAAAGAAAAAAAATTCCAACCAATTATATTATAATACTTGGTGTACCCAATCGTATTCCCAGCATATTAGAAAATTTCTCGTGTTTTATATTGACAACACGACAAGATTGAATAATTCACCCTCCAAGTTGTAGTTAAAAAGAACCAAGGTGAAACTTTGACTTGATTTTTTACAAGGATTTTTTACTTCATCTGTATATCTGTATATATAAAGACCATTCACTGTCATCAGAAAGAATTTTAATCATCCCTGGCTATCACATGACAATAGGGTAAAAGTTAAAACTGTACAGAAATACACACACACACACACACACACACTATTATTAAGAAAATCCTTGTCAACTTTTTTTTCTTTTATTTATTTATTTTACTCTTATTTTTTATACACACCATTTACAAAAGGAGTGTAAAATAGTAATTTTGTATCTTTTAACAAAATAATAATCATATCCTTATTTTTTCTATTTTACTTTTTTTTGTTTTTTTGAAATAATGACAATCATATTTTTTTAATTTTACCCTCATTTTTAACACATAATATTTACATAAAAAAAACAAAACAATAATTATGTAATATTAAAAAAAATGTACTTATTAAAAATTGTTCACACACAAAGTATGTGTTCCTTGCTAGCATAAAATAATACAAACATGGCAACAGCCAACCAAACCGATGGAAAAGCAGAGAGATAGACTCGTCCCGTTGAAGCCGAAGCAGCCACTGTTCTTTTTTCTCCGGTAATAAATTGTGGCTTTTTTTTCCTCTTCTCTTTGAAGCATTTTGTCAAACACTTTACACGCAGTCGTAAATACAACATATATACAGACGCATGTATGCTTGCACGCAGTGTGTGTAGCCAAACTCTCTGCAAATGCATTAAATGCGGGCGTCCTTTTCCACTTCCTCCATTTTTGATCAGCTTCTTCTCTATGTTTCTTTCTGTCTCTGTTTTCTTGTCTCGTTGTCTCTCCCCATTCTTATATACCAAATTCAGATTCCTGATTGGTTTCAAAGGTTCCAACTCTCTTACACTACCTCTTCGATCCGATTTACTCTACCATTCAAAAACCCACAATTTTTTTTTTTTCTGCGGTTTTCTCACTGATCTGAGCAGCAAATCCGCCATTGAAGCTCGGGGAACTGGGTTTAAGATTTAAATTTTTTCAGAAAACGAAGGAAGTAATGGAGGGTAGGATGAAGAAGTACAGCCAAGTGAGTCCGGAAAGGGCGAAAGTGTGGACTGAGAAGTCGCCCAAGTACCACCAGAACCGCAAAGTTCCTGTGGTTTACTATCTCTCTCGAAATCGGCAGCTTGAACACCCCCATTTCATGGAGGTTCCTGTAACATCTCCTCAAGGGCTCTACCTCAGAGGTATTCAAAGTTCAAATTGTAAAAAATGAATTTCTGGGGTTTTTCTTGGTGGGGTATTTTGATTTTCTGAATTTGCTGAGACTTATTTGTGAATTTTAATTTTGTTTGGTTGCAGATGTGATTAATAGGCTTAATGCTCTGAGGGGCAGAGGCATGGCTTCCATGTATTCATGGTCTTCTAAGAGGTGAATTTCTAGTCTTTTTTTTTTTTTAATCCCAAGTTTTTGAAAATGGTATCTTTTAAGGCAGTTTTGTAATTACTTTGGTTTGGTTGAATGAGTGCAGAAGCTATAAGGGTGGATATGTTTGGCATGATCTCTCTGAAGATGATCTGATTCCTCCCGCCCATGGAAATGAGTACGTACTCAAAGGTTCTGAGCTTTTTGAAGAATCGAATTCAGGTAAATGCGGTACGTGATTCAATTTCTCATTGTTTGGTTACTAGGAATTGTAGTGAATGATTTCAAACTTGTCATTTAATTGCACTCAGAAAATATAACTGCTTATTCAGTATTCACCATAATTTTCGATTCCATGGATAAGAAATTTAAGATCCTAAATGTGGATAATTTGTTTATTCATCTGTTGTTTCTGTCCAGGTCGGTTTAGCCCGTTGGCAGAAATAAAAATCCAGAGCTTGAAACAATTACCGGAACCTGCATCTTCTAGAAGCCAAGATGATTCTTCTTCGTCGTCAAGTTTGAATGGGAAGGAAACAAAGCATTCTCAAGAAGATGAGCTCTCTCCTCCGGTTCAACGTCTCGAACGCTCTTCCAGTGCATCTCCAGAGTCTACGGTTGGAAAGAATTCTTCGTGGGGCGGTTCACTGAGCTTGACAGAGTACAAGGTTTACAAGAGTGATGGTTTGGCTGATGCTTCTACGCAGACTGAAGAAAATGGGAACAAACCTAAAGCATCAGAAACATGTACAAGGGGTGTTTCCACAGATGATGGGTCGTTGGAACCGGATTGCAGTTATTATCATAATCGAGTGCTGTGTGTGAAAGAGAACTCTGAGATTTGCAGTGATTCAGTTTCCCCTCCTCGGTTTTCCCCCAGCCCATCTTCATCAGGTGGGAAGACCGAAACTTTGGAATCCCTTATTAGGGCTGATGTTAGTAAACTCAATACTTTTAGAATAGTTGAAGGGGAAGACGTACGGATGCAAAACAATCCAAGGGTTAAGGCTACTAATGTACTTATGCAACTCATCTCGTGTGGTTCAATATCAGTGAAGGATCACAGTTTTGGTCTTATTCCAACCTACAAGGCCCAGTTTTCCCATTCCAATTTTCGCTCCCCATTATTCTCCACTAAAGTAATGCTGGGAGAGCTGGACTGCCTCTCAGAGAATCCAAGGCTAATGGGTTTGAGATTGGAAGATAAAGAATATTTTAGTGGGAGCTTGATTGAGACTAAAATGCTCAAGGAGGAAGATGGATGTACAGCTTTAAAACGATCGTCCTCATACAATGCTGACAGGTTAGCCTAGTCATAAAATTATCTTTCATTTCTTTTAGAAGTTTACACACCTTTTGTTTTAAACCATGAGTATTTTAGGGTTATCTCCTAGCATGTAGTAGTAAGATTGAAGTAAATTTAGTCAAAATCATACTCAGGATGGTAAAAATTGAGGTGCAGGGCTGTTTATTAGGGAACTTATACAGTTTACTTTGATGGTGAAAGCCAGGGATTCAACCAGAGTTAGGAAGTTTCTTACTACCTACCAGAATGTCAATTCTTAAATCTGATGATTCAATTATAGAATTTGAATGCTTTAAGATGGGACCGTACGTATGAAGATCCACAAATCTAGGGCCGTCAAACCTGCCAAATTGTGTTCTAAGTTGATCTACTTGAGCTTGGGTCCCTTGGATGCCGCTTCATTCTTGTCTATGCAAGTGAATTTTTAACTCAAAGGTTTGGTATATCACACAAACAGGAGAGCACAAATTTGATGCAAGTGCTTTATCAAAAGTTATGATTGGTTGCTTCTCACTTCTGAACTTCTAAGTTAGGCCTGTTCAAGCAACGGGACACCTTGAAGTAACAAGTTTAAGTTGGCTTCGGTTTATTAGGGTAGACAGGAAATCTTTGTTTTTTGTCAAGTGAAGAGTTTAGCTGTGGTAACTTTATAAATGTGTAGTTTTATGACTTTTGTAATCCTCTATGTTTTAAATAATTTTCCCCTTGTCTCTGGATGTAGGTTAATCACATTGAATTTGTGCTCTCTTGCTATTGTGATATATTTTGGTTTCTCTTCTTTATGATGAATGTGCTTCTACTGAAATTTTAATTAATCATAAAACCTAAACCTGTTAGATCAGATGTTAGCATCACAGTTTGATGCTAAAATAAAAAATTATGTCAAATCATGAGTTTTTCTTTGATCTGAACAAGTAATGAAGCAGATTCACTTCTTTCTTTTGATAAAATGATCCAATTCATTTCTGATGCTGGCTGAAACAAATTCAAGGGGCTACATGTCCCAGGTCCACCTAGTTGCCATCTTTCGGAGTTCCTCTTATTTGGGGATAAGTTTGTCCGAGTATTCTGGAGTTTTTGTTATAAAAGTTGTGTGGGTAATAAGAAAGGATTAGCCTCTTTGGAATTTGTTGATTGAGAATTATTTGTATCTGTTTGGAAGGGTGGTCATTGGTTAAATGGCAACTGTCCATATTTCCGATAGCATCGTACGTGCAGTTGTAACTATTTTATGGTTCAAATGCTAAACTTATCAACTTGCAGGAGTTGTAAGAAGCTGGATTCAGTAGAGGACAAAGAGCAGTCTACATCAGGACGTTCGAAATGCATTCCAAGATCAATCAAAGCTTCGCTGAACAAGCATCCACGAAGTGAATCTATGAGATTCCCCATTTCCGATAAGCCAAGGAACTCCTCAGATGTAGTTGGTGGTGCACATATCAATACCCATAGCGTATCCAATGGATGTAGCAAAAGAATCACAGACCCTTCATCTCTTAAAAAGCAATCGAAAAGGTTAGATTCGTTTAGAGAAGAGAAGGAGAAGGAGAAGGTGATCAAAATCGAAGAAAGTTGAGTGCCGAGTCCTCCCCCATTTTCACCTTTTTCAAATTTATTACTGTAATCCAGTTTTGTTCTTGTCAATGTTGGTTGACATTTTGTTTGTTTTCCTCCAAAACAGGCTTGCTTCAGGAGCTCGGGTTATAATCCAATCCAGAGCACCTTTCGATACCACTGTGGTTGGCAGTTCGTAGACACCAGCGCTGAAGATAAAAGCAAGGGGTAATTTTTCAGGTGGTTTGAAGTTCAAATGATGTAAACTTATTGGCGGGTAAGGCAAAAAGTAATTTTTTATATATCTGAAAAGTAAAAAGAAAGGAGCAAATCACTTATTTGCAAAGGGGATGGTCCTGGTTGGTGGACCTACTCCGTTTCCTGAGATATGGAGTTGGATTTTTGGGTGGGGTTGTTCAAATGGGTTTTCTTTTCCTCTTTTTATGTAACTAGGGTTTCAAAATCTTCCTTTTTACTGCAATGCTTTAATTTTAGAACAGTTCCTCTAGCAGCAGCATGGTTTAGGTGCTGCCTGCCTGCTATTACCAAAGATGTGTTTCAATCTCTCTCTCTATTTGGGAAATTACACCCGTGGATGATGCTAATCTACACAACCATTTTTATTTCTCATATACCCCTCTTAATTTTCGACTATTAGAATTAAAGAAGATCAAATGATATGAATTAACAAGTGGAGAAAAATGTGTGTAGATGGGCACCACTCATTTTGGCGAAATCTACAATGCATCAATGTATCGCACACTCTGCGGGGCCTGAGTTGATTCAACCTATCAGACATGATTGTTTCATCTAAACATTCAAATTCAGTCATTTAACTTGAGCAATGTATTGCATTAAGAACGCAACTTACATGAAACGAATTTACTGTACTTGTGTGAAGACAGGTTTACTATACTAATTGAGTTCAACATCTCATTGGATTCCTTGTGTCTTGTCGTAAAGTGGTTGACTCTTGGGCAAAAGGTACTTTTGACTCTCATTTCTCAAATAAAAAATGTCCTTCGAAAGCTCAAAAGCGACTTTGGGGTTTGGTGGTAGCAACTTGCCTTTCCCCTTGTTGACAAACTAGATCTCTTCTTTTGGGACAAAGTAGCTTTCCAGGAAATGTGGTATGGGCTGTAAAAGAAAAGTACTAAATCTGGTCACATTCGAGGCTCTCCGAATTCTCTATGCGAATATAAACATCGTATCACATGTTATATTGACATATTAGTTCCTAATATCAACACATATTGGTAAAAGGGGTTTTTAGATCCAGGTTCAAAAATATGGATGATTTTTAAGAGTGAGTCTAATTACCTAATTATATGTATTTATTTTTTGAATGCTTATTTTATATTTTCTAAAAATATTAAAAATCAATTAAAATCTTCTAATATTATGAATTTTCAACCCCAAAAAAATATAATTAATATCTTATAACGAAAATATAATATATTGATAGAAGTGATCTTGAGTCAAAATCGATAGAAGTGATCTTGACTCTTATTTTGGTTTTTAAGATTTAAAATCGATAGAAGTGATCTTGAGTTTGTTTACCATTAATCATTTTAATCTTTTCGTGAAAAATTTCCACTAAATAAGAATAAAATAAAATAAATACCATCAATTTTTGTCTAATTATTTTGCCTATTGTTTATTAAATTGAAGGTATTTTGTTGTTTTGATCCTTATTTAACAAATTTTTTTTTTAAAAAAACCAAAATAAGTGATGATAGACAGGAATTACTTCTATTAGTTTCAGATCTTATAAATCAAAATTAAGAATTATGCCAGTTTAAAAAATTAGTTTGACTAAAAGCCGATTTATAATAAAAGTGACTGTTGCGTGAGTCGGTCCTCCAGCAAACTGTCCCAGTGTTTTGCATGTTAGGGTGGTGGAGACTGGACTGGAGATGGACTGATTGGATGGATTGGATTGGATTGGACTGGAGAGTATTTGCGTTGCGTATCAAGTAGTAAAGTCGTTTCTCACGGCAGTGCCTAGGCTGTCCCGTCAAGAATTTTTATACCATGCACAACAAAATCACACAATAATTTGCTCGAATCTAGTGCTTATTGCAAGTGATAGATTGCTGGTTTACGACGATATTCTTTTTAACTCATTGCATTTGAAATTTATACTGTTGCTCTCATATTTAATGTAAAGTATTGCTTGTATTAAAAAAATATAATAATCTTACAACGTTTCTTATTCAATGGGGCCTCCTTATTCAATTGGGCAATTTTGTTGTATATTAGAGAAAGTGTCATCTCACAGTCAGTGCTTTAGAAAGATACACTAAAATTTCTATAAATAAATAGTTTTGAGACTAAGAAAGATAATTAATTGAGAGAGATTTTTTTTTGTCGCATCACGGCTCGGATCCCTACTACATTCCGGACTCGACTCCACCATAGTATGATATTGTCCGCTTTGGGCCTTAACCATGCCCTCACGGTTTTGTTTCCAGGGATGTGGATCCTGTAAATCTTACATGTATATTTCCATCTCTACCTAGCAGGAGGCCTTTTGGGAGCTCACTAGTTTCAGGTTCCATCGAAACTCCGAAGTTAAGTGAGTTCATGTGAGAGCAATCCCATGATAGGTGACCCATTGGAAAGTTCTCGTGTTAGTTCCTAGAAACAAAATCGTGAGGGCGTGGTCAGGGCCCAAAACGGACAATATTGTGCTATGGTGGAGTCAGCCTAGGATGTGGTGGGGACCTGGACCGAGATGTGACATATATATATATATATTTTTTTTTAACAGACGATATTACTTACACTAAGAGGAGGAGAGTGCATAAACTCATAATGGATTAGTAATAATGAGGTTCAAATTCGTCTTTGGTGGTAATCGAACTTAAGAACTATCACTTACAAGTGAAGAGGAATACTACTCGACTGTAATACTAAGTGACTATTTTAGACAGATATTATATTAATAAAAGAGTAATTTATTAATTTATTGATAAAAAATATTTATTAATTAAAAAAAATTCATTTTGTCATAGGCCTATTTAACTAAAAAATTACAGACGGAAAAAAGAAAGGGTGTTGCGACAGGAGAGAGAAGAATAGAATAAAGAATTGGTGAATTCTAAGGTGTGTTATCTCATCCCTATTATGCATTTATTTACAATAGTAAGGAAGAGAGAATCCTTACTTTTCAAGTAATATATTTCAATTAGGACTATTTAAAAGATACTATAGAATCCCAAAATGATTTACACAATTACATTCCTAACTAAATTAAGACTGCAACACTTTTGTTCATTTATTACTATTATTATTGTTTTTAACATGAATACGTGTGTCTTATATAAACAACAAATAGATATATGACTTCAAACCTCTAAGATAATTTAAGGACTAGAAGATAAGTCTTTTTCATTTAGCGATTTTATTATTTTATTACACATGCTCAAGTTGGGACCAGATGATTTAATTATTTAACCAAGGTTATTATTTTATTACTCATGTTCAGGCTAGATGTTTTTATTATTCAACCGAGGTTATTAATTTATCAAACAACCCTATGAGTTTATCTTATGCTGTCGTTCCCAAGCTTAGATAAAAGAAGAGGGGGAAGGCGTTATGTAGTCGACAATAGACACTTTATTTTCATGTTGAATCCCTATGATAATGAATCCTAAAAAAAATTGGGCTAAAACTAAATTGTCACCCGGAAGTGATGCATTGAGTGGCTTGGGCACATTGATAAGTGAGCAAGTGTCACTATATCTTTATTGGTGCCAGGATGCAACGTTAAACGAGCAAGAATGCTGTAGAAACTTCATTTGAATGACTCCACTCAAAGTTGTTTGGAAACATCTATTGACATCAACTTTACCCAAGACACACAAAAGAAGTATTTTGACCTTACTAGACGGGTGAGGTCAAAGAAACTAGGACATGAGGGTACGGTTCTAGAGAGTACAATGCGTTTAGGAACGTGGAATATAGGAACCTTAACGGGAAAATCTATGGAAGTAATGAAGTTATGGTGAGGAGAAGGATAAACATTATGTGCTTCCAGGAAATTAAGTGAGTTAGTCTTAAGGCAAATGATCTCGAAAGCTCAGGTTTTAAGCTTTGGTATTCGGGCACAAGCATATTGAGAAACGGTGATGACATCATCATGGATAAGACTCTCACAAAAGATGTTGTAGATGTTAAGAGAGCTAGGGATAGAATCATAGGAATCAAGATTGTGATAAGACAATGATGAGTAAATATTGTTCTATATTTTTACCATAGTCTTAGTATTAGTTTATTGGTTATTTTGTGAGAATTTTGATACTTTGATTTATATTTTTAATATAGAACATGCGAATCTACTTTGAGTAAAAAGTGATCAAACGAAGGAATTTTTTAGTAATTCCAATTGGAGTGGATTTGTGAGTCTTTTAAGATGATTGGATCAAATTCCAAGATTTAATTCCAAGCCGTTTGACTGTGACAAAGAAAAGAAAGCTCGCAGCTTTCTCAAATTGACGTATATGGACGTTTTGCGTATTTTGAAGGTCAAGATGACATATTTTGAGGAAGGTTCCTTCTATGGATTTGTTGGGGATGTGTTAAACTTAAAAAAAAATAGCCCTTTGGGACCAAATCGGAGTTGATTTGGTTGGTCAAAAATTTGATTCTCTCTACAGTTTGAATTTGATTTTAAATAGGAAACCTTTTATTTATTATTTTACTTAGATTTCCAGATTTATTGGAAAACCTTATTTAGGTAGGATAATTAATATAGCACTTTAAATATAGTGTATCGTGCATTAGAGTTCTCTACGTACTACTATGGAGAACTTGGCTTAGATAGCTTTTGACTTAAACTTTATTTTTATGAGGTGTTTACTATACATAGTTTCAATAATATTTTGCTTTTTGATTATAAATATGCGTAACTAATCTCCTTTTTGTTAGGACGAATGCCACGTCTTAAGGGTTGCATGATTTTTCAAAAGGCTTTCACAAAACGTAATGAGTCATGCATGTTTACATTTGATCTGAATACCACAAGCGGATTGCATGTTTGATATAAATTTTATCTAAAATGTCACAAGTAGAATATGCATTACGAAAACCTAACCTTCTAAGTTGCATGTGTAATTCATAAGTAATTGGTAAAACTACGTAAAATTGTTAAGGTGATGGCGGAACCTTAGTGTCATTTAGATAGATTTTCAAAACTGTTTTGTTTTAAATTACTTTCCTATTGTTGAGGATTTTACATTATTTTTTATTAAATTCATTTTTGTTATTTTAAATCACAAAATCAACTTTTTCTAAATTTTATTTTAAATAATTAATTAAGATTTGATTTTTACATGAATTATTTTAAATAATTCATGTGAAGAACGACCTTGCATGAGCATTATTACTACAACTACCTTGTACTCTTACAAGTGTTTTTATCCCAACTTTTGCAGGTGGTAAAAATTCTGTTGATGCACAAAATCAGTGAGACTTTGGAACAACGTAAAATGTCAAGTTTGTGACCTTCACTCGATTGCTCCGGTCACCTGCTGTGGATAATATGTAAATAGATAAAGATA